GGCGTATGAAACAGAATTCATAAGTTAGCATAATTCTATAACATTCCCCAGAAAACCATTCCGCCGAAAACCATTCCCCAGAAAAGTATGCCATGTATTAGATTGACTATTTTTGTTTATTATTGCCACTCCTGGAATCTTCTTTCGCGTATATAAAAAGAAGAGAAAAACTTCTTAATGGACCAAGGGGATTTTCCCTTCTTTTAATATATAAGGAAAATATTTAATCAATCGTTTTTCGCAAGGGATTCGGGGTAATGCCCATTCGTGATAATAACGTGTGGAATAATGTTATAAATTTGTAATCGGTAGTTCAACGTTCCATTCACCGATTTTTTAATCCATCACGAGAAATTCTTCAACTCAGGTCGAACAATTCTTCGATAAGGTTTAACAGTTTCCGACTGGTTGAATTGGATTGCATAATAGACCCTTTGACTTTTTAAATGATTAACTTTTTAAATGAAGTGCTCGAAAACTTAAAGGTTGTCATTCTCTAAAGAGCTATAAAATGATTTGGAATTGATAAATACATAGTTCCATAGTAAACGTAGTGTATCATCATCAGTGAAACTAATCAGAGAGTTTTATCATGAAAAATATATTAAATCAAATGTGTAAAATTTATCGAGAAAATTGGTATTTAGAAGATGTATTATTCAGTGTGCAAGATACTTACGGACCTGTTTATTTATGGGCGCCTGTTCTGTAATATAAAACTGAAATATAATATCAAATGACCAAAAAAAAAAGTGATGAATTACTAATTTCATCATCTTTTCTGGCGAATGGTACATTCTGAGGAATACTTTTCTGGGTAATGGTTTTCTGGGGAATGTTATAGAATAAGTTAGCATATATAAATGTAATATATATATATATATATATATATATAATCGAATCCTTAGCGTTCAGATTACTGACGCTTGGGAAATGCATAGCTCATGTCTATGGCATTCATAAGTATCTTATGAAATCAAAAGTGTCCAGGTTCACAAGCACTGTCTTATGGAATTCTTAAGATTATTTACCTCAGTGTACACCAGGCTGAAATGTGAAGCAGAAAAGGTTGGATTAATAGCGAATATGTCGAAAACTAAAGTATTCACCAGGGTGGACACGACACGACAAATTCAAAAGAATAATTTTATTTATTATTATTCTTGTGTTGCTGCGCGAAAGAGCTGGCGTACACGCAGGCAAAAGAACGTAAGAATTCCATAAGAAACACTTATGAATTTTAGCCATAAGAAATTAGTGTGAAGTTCATTGATTTGCCTTCCCGCATAAATGCGAACCATTGCTTGACCTTTCCAAAAATGGGTTAAAATGGTTTATAATCCCTGCTAAACATTAACTGACCGTTTGTGTGATAAAGTTTTAACCATATGTATTTGGTTTTTTGGAAGTGAACCTTACAAATGATGGGTTGTTAAGAACCATTACCATTCCAAATTCTTGTTTTGTCCATACATTTTCGGAAAAGGAATTATATTAAAACCTTTTTATTTATGATTTGAGAACTTTAATGGTAATGGTTATGGTAGTCAGTAAGGTCCATGGATGGTTTTGTATGATCGATCAACTTTATGTGGAATATACCGCGAATAGGTTACCTTTAAATTAATGATTACCAATTCGCGAATATTCCACGTAAAGTTGACCGACAATACAATATATATAAGAGCTACCACATGTTACCCGAAAATCATTCATTCGCTTATGAAATTCATATATTCCACGTAAAGTTGACCGACAATCTTTATATATAAAAATGAATTTCTGTCTGTCTGTCGACTCTTATAGACTCGGAAACTACTGAACCGATCGGCGTGAAAATTTGAATGCAGGGGTTTTTGGGGCAGGGAAAGGTTCTTATGATGGTTCGAGAACCCTCCCCCTCTGTAAAGGGGGGCTCCCATACAAATGAAACAAGAATTTCTGCATAACTCGAGAACTAATCAAGCAAATGGAACCAAATTTGGCATGTGGAGGTCATAGGGGGTAGCCCCTTAGATAAGAGGGGGGGGGGGGGGGTAACGTACAATATAGCATGCTTTTTTTTAATTGACGCATAAACTCAAGCTAACATTGAATCCCGAGCAAGGCCGGGAACACTCAGCTAGTACAATATATATAAGAGCCACCTCATGTAATTGTAATTGTTCAGTGCATAGGCTGTGCCTTCCGCTAAGAAGGCTTATCTAGGGACCAACCCCCTAGTCTATACACCTACTGTCCTTCCCGTTGCACTCGTCAGCTCGTGCGATACTCTAGACACACATGGGTGGTCGTATCCGGGTCCTCCCCTGGGTAGGCTCGTGTCCGTCCAGGTTCTGGTACATTAACTTATCTATAGCATGGTAATTATATTTTTAAAACTCACCTTTTGATTATAATGTCGAAAATGCTGAAACTAAATAAAGGTTAGCGATCCGTATAAGGTGTGTGCTGCGACGGAGTAGTAATTGAAGGAAATGAGGTTCTGATATGAAGTATAGGTAATTCTAAAATAGGTAAATCAATTAATCATTAGCTGCTAACAGTTACTAATAAATGGGTACGATAAATCACTCATCAATGAGTATTGCCACCAGGGCTACCTCCACTCACCCGCCACAAAAACACGTTCTTCAGAACTATGGAACCATGAGATGACCTAGTGATAATTAGTACTTGCAAGATACAAGATGAGGACGTGAAGCATGTGTCTGACACACAAAACCTGCCAATATTGCCTTCAGTGCGTCACAACCAGCAACTCTACGACTCGTGAGTGCTCACTCTGAGTGAACGCTCACGAATCATAAGATCGCCCATTGTGACGCTCTGAAACAAAAATTTACAGGTCCCATGAGTCCAACACACACTTCAAACCCTCCTCTCGCTACCTACAAGTAGAGCATATCACCATATCATCCAATGATTGCACAATCTCGAAAAACACGCCTCTACAGCAAGTGAGTGGAAGCAACCCTGATTGCCACTCCCACTGAAAAATGGGCAAAACCTTAATCATAAATGGATATTCGATTCCTACCGTGTATTTAAAGTAAAGTTAGGATCTTATCAAGCAAGCACACACCTTTTACGATTCTTATCCTACTTACGGTTTCCTGCACATACGACTTTTCCTAGATACAAGCTTCGTCCAGTATACATTGGCTGTCTCCAACCGGCATGATCCTTTCTGTCTGCTTCCTCTTGCCGGTGCAAGTTTAATTCTTCTTTTCTTGTTCGTTTCTGGTTTCTGGTCGTGTTCCCATTTGTCCTCAGGCAGTTAATATTAGTACATGATAGGAAGAAAGAAAGAAATAGAACAAGTTAAGTGTGAGCCGCATGCATTGGTTACTTATTTGGGTCATGGTGTTGTCTTCCCTATTTATTTGCCCTAGTCGCTCTCATATCGAACGTTTAACTCTGGATCAACAATAGAAAAGGGCCCATCAGCATTTGTAAACAAACCGCTCCAAAGCCCCCCACTCACAAAGCGAAGGCCACCCACGCAAACCAACACCATCATCGGATAGGGAAAACTTCCACCTACACGAAGATGGTGCTGGCCTGCGTGAGCAGCCCCCGATCCGCGAGGAACGGGCTTTGGACGGTTTGCCCACAAAAACCGATGGGCCCCCTTCCATTGTTGATATAGAACTCACCCCCTTCCCTCACACTATTATGGTCGGAAAAGAGAACCCATATTTAGGAATCTATCGCGAACTGCGATGCAGAAGATATTAATAGCAAACTAATCTGGAACTGGTCTAAGACATATGACCCAGTGAGCATTGACACCTCACACTGTTGTGAATGAGCACGGACGCGAGATTTACTAGAGTATTAAATGCAAAACGCAAATTCAAAATAAAACTTGACAAGACATCGTCAATCCCCTTATTCTTGGGTAGGGTCTGACGATGTGAATCTGATTTTGATCAGTGAACGGGCCCCATATGGTACATTTTCTCACTATGAACCTGTCATTTCCAGCCTATCTGAACTATTTAATAAATGGAAACCATAACATGGGTTACGCTTCCCCTAAGCGGGCCCTCCGCATCCTATCTCTGTCTTATCTCAAATGCCAATGGTTTGAATGTATCAATATATACATTGGAAATGACGTTCAATCAAATAAACCCATACCCCACTCACTTGGCCAGGCTTCAGAATCGTCCAGTGGGCAGTGCGCTCTACACTCCAAGTTCCCTTTCTTTCAAATTCACCCTAAATTTGATATTTTACCCCTTTGAGTGTTGATTAATCACAATGAAACATTGTGACAGAGCACGGACTTGAGGTTACTAGAGTATTAAATAATCTAGGTCCTATTTAGGATTATATCAGAAAAATCCAAATCTGGCCAACGCCCACCATATATAAGAGCCACCTCATGTTACCCGAAAATCATTCATAAGTCACGCTTATGAAATTCATATACATATGTTGTTCATAAGTTGAGCCTTATGAAATTCTTAGGTCTATTTGCCTCAGTGTAGGCTTACTTAATCATTCAGACTAAGGCCTGGTTTTCCTAATTGCTGTACACGGAAATCGTCTCCATTCCACTCGATCCATTGTTGCATGTCGCCAGTCCGCTATCTGCGGAAGGTTCCGCAGTTCGCCTTCCACCTAATCGATCCACCTTACCAGATGTGCGCCTCTTCGTCTTGTTCCAGTCGGGTCATTATCGAGTACCATTTTCACCAGGCTGTCTTTCGACATTCTTACGACGTGCCCAGCCCACCGTAGTCGCTCGACTTTTGCGGTGTGGACGATGGGTGGTTCACCAGGAGCTGGTGCAATTCGCCTCATCTATGTTTCTGAGGAGTTCTTGAAGATCGTACCCCGTCACACCTTCCAAAGCGATGTTAAACAGCAGACACGAAAACTTATACCCTTGCCGTCACACTCTCAAGGGCCTCACCTCCCAAAAATTATGCACGGACCAACATTGTCGAACGGATTTCTTCAATGAACAAACACTAACCACGGCTAGATATATTATTAATTACAGTTTTATTATCCATATTTTAAAGTCTACAAAAGTATCTGATGTACATTCTAATAGCAGTTTTTTGAAAATATGTTTGAAAGCTTTTTCATAAAACGAAAAATTTATAGTGTTTGCAATCAGTTTGCGTCTTTTTCAAAAACTCCACAGTAAAATGACTAATTCTAATGTTCGGTTACAGTTTGATTCAAAAAATAATAAAAAAGTAAAATTGTCTTACGTCTATTTGTTTTTAACACATCTGCTGTCTCTTTTTCTCTCGGATAAATTTATAACTCTGATAGGGGATCTGTTATTCTACTGCTAGGACCTTCAAGTGATTGTGGATAAGTGTAACTTTTCAAATTATGGAAATGTTGAAAGCTTACAGAATATCTTATATCGGGCGACCATCGTTGGTCGGGTTCGTCAAATGGGAGAAGTAAAGAAAAGAATGCTTTAAAATCTACAAGATCTTACTCCTTTGCCGGAACTTCAATCACTCGTGGTTTGTCGATGATGCGAGCCGTGCGGTTGCCCTTTTCAACGATTCCAATAATCCATGCTTGACAGCCTTCCTGCTTCTCGATATCCTTACAGTAGGCAGCAGCTTGTTCGCGAGGCAAGCAGATCAACAGTCCTCCGGAGGTTTCCGCCGAGTGTCCCTGGAGCAACTGGAACATATTTCCGCATGCCTTGGCGACTGCAGCCATCTTTGCAATCACCGGCAGATTGTGAATAACGAAGGAAACCTCATTCTTCTGGTGCGATGCAAGCGTCTGTGCGTGACCCAGCAGACCAAATCCAGTGATATCGGTGGCACCATGAGCGTTGTATTTGTGCATCAGCCGGGCTGCAATACGGTTTAACCGGGACATCGAGTCCATCGATCGGTGGTACGCCTTGCGAACATCTTCCTCGGAGACGACCAGCTTTATGCGGTTCCAGCGTTCCGATTGATCCAACCACTGATGTGCATTGACGGCTACCTGAGTTCCGAGGGCCTTGGTCAGAACCAGGACGTCACCAACGACGGCATTGTCCGGAACGATGAACTCATTCTGCTGGCAGATGGTGGTGGCCACCCCACCGATCGTACTCCACGGGTTGACGACACTTTGGCCACCGGTGACGGATGTACCTGCCTCCAGGGCTGAATCCTGGGGGAAAGGAAAAAGAAATGCGTTTGATAAGCGACGTCAATATGGTGTAGCTACATTGGGAAATATTTCAATTTCGTTGGATTTAGTCAACGGAAGACGTTAATATTGACCAAGTTCAAACAAACCTTAAGCGAACCCCACACGCATCAATATATTGACGCGAAGGGGAATTATTGACAATAATATTGATGATGTGAATTCAGAAATATTGTCAATCTCGATATATTGATTATTGTCAATAAAAGCAATCGTGTAGGGTCCACTTTAAGCGAACCCCACACGCATCAATATATTGACGCGAAGGGGAATTGATATTGAAGATGTGAATACAGAAATATTGTCAATATAGAATGTATTGACAATACGATTATTGTCAATAAAAGCAACCGTGTAGGGTCCACTTTAAAGCAAAAGAAATGTGAAAAACCTAGAACAATCAAATACGAAACAATAATCAAATATGAAGAGCAATTAGGATAACTTATCTTTAGTTGCTTTTTCTATCGATCTGGAGGTTTTACAAATAATTCCTGATCATGAAATCATCATACTGATTCTAAAAAAAAAGAATGTTTTGTGCAGAACACAGGATTTCCCGGTTATTAAAAAAAAAAAGAAAACAAAAAATCACCAAACTAAACAGGCATTCAAAAATAACTGTTTATAGATAATCATTTTTTTCAGCAGAATTGCTCTACAATACGTCAATTTTGCAGAAAAATATGAGATAAGATTTGCAAAATATGTTGTTGATCTAGATCTCCAAAATCTCATGGAAGCATGAACTCGTATAAAATCAAAGGGTCTCCTGCAAAAATTTAGCCTAAAAGTTGTTTTGGTATGTTGAAAAAAGCATAAATCAATACGCAGTATTAAAAATTCTTAAAATCTTCCAGGAGTTGAAGTTCTATATGCCTAAAAACATTTGGTGGAATACAAAGATGTGTTACCAAAATATTTAAATTGTATTGGAGATATTTTACAGGTTAATAAATATCTTGTTCGATTTCCACTTTTGAGCATTTTGAGTCTCCGTTCGAAATATAATTTAAGATTATCAATACGACGAATGGGTAAACCTTCGGGAAGCCCCATAATATAATTGCCCTAGTAACAATTTTGGTTTTATCATGGTTTTGAAGAGGCCTTATAGGATTAGAATGGACTTAAAGACCACATTGAAATCGAAAATATTGCTTGTGTGTTAAATAAGGCTGAGTGTTTTGAAATTAAAATTAAGTGAAACAGCTTTTGAAATGAGGGTCACAGTTTTACCGAACACGTTCAACTGTTGAAAGTGCGGTAAAAAATTATCGAAGTCGGTAATAATTTCTAGTGTGTGAGCTAACAAGATCTTTATTATTAAGCTGTTTCCAAGTGCGAGATCTGATAAATTTCAAATGACCTGCAACCTTGGTTTTTAATTGAAACCTGTTTTTTAAGCAAAACTAAACTAAATACGAAACCTTGTACATTCTTCTGGTTTAGAATATTTCTAGAGAGAGCTGGAATAAGAGCGATTGTCGCACGTGTAAACAGTGCGTCACAATATACTATTATTAAAATGCTGCAAAACGATATTAAAATTGTTTGGAAAACTAATGTACACCTTCAAAAAACGCAAAAAAACATAAGGGCGAAACCAATTTTTCTATTACATATTGAGTTGTTTCTTACGCCTGTTTCCTTCCATATACATAGATGGGGCGAAACAGACATATTTTTTCAACACAAGCCGAAAGATATAATTTGAATCTTTCTACTATTGCTTGAAATTACCGGTTGGTAATCAAAAGGAAACATTGTTAACCTAAACTGCCGCTCTTCGTATGTCGGTTCCATAGTCGTTTTTGTCAAAACTGAGTTTTTCAATGCAAATGGTAGCTAATTACCCATATTTTCATAATACTGGATGAACTCATCAACTTTGTTCTGAAAAAAATTTGAAAGACAGTCACATTGGTTGTCTAATCACATAAGAATCAATGGTACGAAGCAAACTTAAAACGCGATTTTCTCGGCTTACCGATTTTCGCTATGGGACGGACATGCGAAGAGCGGCAGTAAACGAAATGCATGAAAAATAAGCGAAAACGCTATAATACATGAATCCAACAAACTGCAAAAGGTCGATAGTAACAAACCATCAGGAAAAACAACGTAAACATTGAGGCGAAACAGACAATGTTAAAAACTAGCAAGACGAAACATAGGGGCGAAATAGCTTCTGTCAGTCGGGCAAATTACCTCGGGGCGATACACGATACTAAAAATCAAAAGGGCGTTTTCGAAATGGGTTTATAGTTTAATTTAGAATTAATTATTCTTGTTCTAAATTTCAGATTCATTTTTCTCAGTTCAAACCCGTTGCGACATTGGCCCTTATTTCAGCTCTATCTAAATTTAATAAAACTTTAAAAAATTTACTAAAAAACCAAGTCCGCAATCTTTAGCATTTTCCTCAATACGAAACCTTGAAACTGAAATTTGTCCCAGAATCTTGAAGAAAATTTCAAGATCTGTAAAAAAATGTTTCTAGAACAAGAACCTGGATTTAAATAGTTCCTAAAAATATACATTGTTTTACTTTCCTATGATTGGTAATATCATTCTAATTTATAATGCAGTAACTGTTATGAATAAGGGTTGCGAAATATTTCCCTGAATTTAAAGAAAATTCTCTGATTTTCATGAGATTACCTTATTTTCCAGTTAGTTGACATCCTGGTCTAGCATTCTACTATTTTTATTAGGTTTCAAGGAAAAATATGCAACACGATATCAATCATTAAAACGACTCGACAAAAATTGAAATTCCAAAAATTGAACTAAAAATCGTACCAATCACCATGTAACATGACCAATTGAACCAATATCCTTTTCAACAAGATAAAAACATCCGAAATCCTTTGAAAATGATCACCAAGATTTTTTTTCCTTGTTAGAGTGAAGACATTTGTGAAAAGTATGATTTTGGTTTAGTGCTATATGTTTCCTGCATAATGAGCATTTTCTATAGCTTTGTATTGTAGATGGGATAGACAAACATGCTTTAAAGGTAAAATGTAAACTGAAAATTTATTTGAATGATGCAATAAATTGCGCCCACCGGTAATTGATAAATAAAGCAGTGCCATATTTTTTTAAAATAAATACTGGGTTCCATTCAAAGAGCTTGTCAACTGATTTGTTACATGTATTACATTGAATTTGTTTTGCTTTATATTACAGTGTAACCGAGAGACGATAGGCCCTGATTGATGCGTTTTTATAATAATTCATAGGCCCATTTATAATGAAATTATGTTATTGTTGTGACCGGCTTTTCAAATTCATGTAGAAAAACAAAAACTTAAGCAACGTTATCCAGCAATGCCGAAATGCCGATTAATGCATTCTACAGGCATTAGATAATCCTTACCTTGAATCCTCGCATTATGAGCGGTATGACGACATCCCGTTCCTTCTCGGTCATTTTGGTGCTGACGGCAAGCAACATCAGCATGTTATCGCACTCGGTAACTCCCATGGCATACAAATCGCTTAGGACGTTGGCACAGGCTATCTTTCCCATCATGTAGGGATCGTCCACGATTGGATAGAAGAAATCCGTCGTCTGCACCATACACAGCCCTCCGTGACGTAGGGGAATGACCGAACAATCTAGACCGATTCCGATTCGAGGTGATGACATCGACAAATATTGTGCCTCTGGGTCCTGGGTGTAGTCCTGCTGCAGTGAGGAGACCAACTTTTCCAGTACATCCTTGGGAACTTTACAGCCACGACCCTTCAGATCGGCGAAGCGCGTCAATCGGAAGGATGCTTCTAAATCATGGGCGGTCGGATCGAAGGGACGCCGCAGTACGAGTCCCGGATTTCCACCCAAATCCAAATGAGTTTGACCGATAGAGTCGTTATGATAATCACCCATCGTAATTAATTTCACTCAGTTAACTTTTCTTCACTGAATCACTCTGATCGGGAACACCGCACTGAAAAACCAAAGCGCTTAAATTTTTCCCACTTTGGGCGCACTGACTGCACACACAAAATTTTCAACCAAGATGGCTGCCCGAACAAGAAAATTTTTCTTTTTTGTGCCTGCGTTTGAATGGAGCGAGCCCCTTACGTAGCGTCTGTTATGTCCAAGCTCTAGCGCGTGTCTGTCAGTGGAGGGGAAAATCGAAAGTTTGGCTACCCTGCGCTGCGGTAGTCGCGCTGGAGGAGCAAAATCTAGAAATTTCTCCCGGCGGCTGCTAAAGGCGGGGTCACACGCGTCACAGTCCTGATGTCAGACGGCGGAACCCCTCTGCGCTTGTGGAGAGTTTTCGGTACACTCAAAATAACGCTGCCGAGCTGCTAGTTTAAAAATGTTCAAAAGACCGCCCGGATAAAAAAAAGATTGATAAATAGATTAACATCATGGTTGATTATGGTCATTTTTGTAACAACGGGGGACAGTTGTTACTACAATTACTTCATACAATAAACAAAAATTGCATATAAAAAAAAATACAGTTTGAAATGAAAAGTTTACCATATTTGGTAGTTTCAACCTCGGCTTCAACTACGAAAATATTCAAAATGATTTTTTTTGGTTTAAAAGTTATTCTTTCACTACACTAATACAATTCCACACATTTTTATTGAAGAATTTCCATGTGAAATTCCACATGATTTTCATGTGGCCACACATAAACATAATCCACCCAGAAACACACATGAAATTTATGAGTCAAATTAATAGTATATGTGGTTACACATTGCTTTTAAAGATTGGATTCTTATAATAAAAATAATTGAGATGAAAACCTATACTAATTGTTGAGAATTACCCGTATTTTAAAGCAAAACTTAACCAACATCAGTGATAGGTTTTCAGTTTGACAGTTCTTCAATTCAATTTGATAGTTTCAAGTGGTTTCAACTTTTAAAATTAATAATATCAGGCATAACATTTGATAACGGCACAAAAGCATTTGTAAACAAACTTTCTAAGGTCCTTTACACGCGAACCAAAGTACGTCGACGCAAACCAATACCAGTTTCGGAAAGGTGATAGTTGCCCTTATCCGATGATGTTGTTGTTTTGCGTGGGCGTACTTTGGTTCGCGTGTAAAGGGCCTTAGAAAGTTTGTTTACAAATGCTTTTGTGCCGTTATCAAATGTTATGCCTGATATGCTAAAATTTTGATTTGACAGTTGGCTGACTTTTGTTTTGGAAGTGAGATACTTTCTACTAAAAAGAACCAATGCAAAATTTTAATTCCGTATTATCCCAGGTTTTATCAATCAATATGCTGCTAAAGAAGCAGCTGTGATGTTTACGATATTGTCCAGAGAATTCATGATAGATTTTCTTGAAACCTCGCTTGATACATCCTTGATTTTAGCAGCAGATAAGGTACTGTGAAATCGAATTTGCTTTGATTTTACTGCAAACAAATCGGGATGGAAATTTGTTCTAAATATACCGATGCCACAGTCAAACAGACATAACACATCGAATATTTCTCATTGTAAAACATCGTCGCTAAAACATTACCGCCATCTGTTGAGTACACTGTGGTGGGTAGTACGCTAAACAGATGGCGATAGTGTGTAAACGTCAAACGCAAGGGAATTGACCATGTGCGCCACAGGTGGCAGACTACCAACTAAAATACTTTCAAATTGACCGTTAAATGCTTGTTCAATGAACAACTTATGAGTGTTATGTTTGTTTGACTGTGCCGATGGTATACATCAAGCTCTAAACAACTTTTTCTTTTCAGAACTGATGTAATCCAGGATTGGCAAGGAAAAGATTTTTGGTGAAGGAAAAAGCTGCAGTACAATCACAATTTCGGTCTCGAAGTTCGCAATGTGTATACGATCATCGTATATTTAACCAACGATGTCACGGTCGGGATTTGGAAGAACGATCATCCGTACGGCGATACCGGTCGTAGTCACTGTGGCTGGAGAAATATGTGTCCCTTTCACATGATTTCAACCGTGAACGTTGACGTGCATGTTTTCTCGACCGTAACGGAGAACGGGAGTAAGAACGAGGTATGTATGGAATAAACAAAATCAATTTCAATAATATATAGTATTATCACAGACAAACAGACATAACTCGTACAAGAAAATTCTTCAAAAAATATCGTCAAGCGTATTTTGCATGCGCACTAGCACCATCTATCATCCACATTCCCAAGCATTGTTTTGCAACCGCAGCATCCCTCGTTCATGCAATTTTTCACTAGTTGCTTTTCCCTCGTTCTGTCAACGCGTCAGCTGTGTTGAATAAAAACAAAACAGATAGAAGTCAGTGATGTCGGTTCTACGAAATTTTCCGAAGATCTATTGAATTGATTGAATTCTGCAGAAATACGGATCCGTAGGAAAAATTCACAGAAGCTAAGACTTTTCTTCAAGAATTTGTTTTGTTTGCTTAGTGCGAGGGGGGTGACACATCTAAATCTCAATGCTCAAAAAATCTCACACTAGCGAATTAATCTTCGAAAAATGTTCTTGCATTTTTCGCATCTACATGCATCGCACATCATCTTTTTGCAGGAAATCTTCAGAATCGTCATCAATCTTCTTTCTATCTACTCAGCGTGCGAGCAGCTAGCCACAGCACAACACAATCTTTACTGCAGTGTAGATAGAGTCGTCCCCCTCGGCTTAGTGTGCTTTTACTTTTGCTGGAAACAAGTTTTTAAACGAGGTAATGCACGAGGGGGACGACTATATCTACGATGCAGGAAATATTGTGTTTTGCTGTGGCTAGCTGCGGGCACGCTGAGTAGATGGAAAAAAGATTGATGTCGATTATGAAGATTTCCTGCAAAAAGATGATGTGCGATGCAAGTAGGTGAGAGAAATGAAATAATAGTTTTAGAAGTTTGATTCGCTAGTGTGAGATTTGTTGAGCATCTAGAATTGAGATTCAGATGTGTCGCCCCCCTCGCTTTAATGTGAGAAAAAAAATATGTATCAATCAATGATATTCATGGTGAAGTACACACAGAGTTTAGATTACCGAAGCCGGTAAAATTTAACTGGGTTTTTAAACTACTGAGTTTTCAGCAATCAATTCAGTAGTTTTTGGTTTAACTGAAAACTCGGTAAATGGAAAAAAATCCCTGAAATGTCAAAATTTACCGTTTTAGGCTCTGAACCATTTGGTGGATTATTTTAACTTTTGGTTAAAATTTGACAGATGGAAAGTTATCGATTAACCCTGCTATCCGAGCATGGTTATTTCTGACAGACAAGAAGTTAAATTTTGACAACCGTGGCTCGAAAACCGGTCGATCGACAGCACAGGGATTTTCGAACATAGAAAATAACTTTCGAAATGTCACTTTTAACCACGAGTTAAATTTAACTCGGCAAATGGTTCACAGCCTTAGTCAGTTAAAGAATTGCTGACTTTTTCAGTAATTTATTTTTTTACATTATTTTTGCTGAGTTTTTCAGTATTTTGATGAATACATATCAATGAGTAGTAAATAAATTATTTCGGATTTTTAAGATTTTTATTAGGGGACTCAGGTTTATTTTGTTTAGAGGCATAATAGCAATGATGCTGTTTAAACTTATCTTGAGTCTAGTCCAGCTTAAGCGCTCAATACTTCCTCGTGGTTCAGCCGGCTGGTTGCTTTCTTGGAGTGTCAGATTGCGTGCCTAAGTCTGGAGCACTGCTACACACAATTGAAATTTTTTGCCGCAAATTCAATGGAACACCTGGAAGTCGATGTAGGAGTGCAGAAACTGCCGGATTTCGTGAATGATTCTGCACTCCTACGTTAACTTCCAGTTGTTTATCTTATTTTCACAAACATGTTGCTGTTTTTACACACAAATTTCTGAAGTCAAGTGCGCGAGGTGGAACGAAGGAGAATGACGTAAAGGAGTCCAATTTCGAGTCCAATTTACTAGTGTGACCAGTAATTTTGGAATTTCGTTTGATGAATGCTTCAGTAAAACATAATTGGTACTGAAAACTCGGTGTTCTATTTTACTGAGTTTTGATCGAGGGGGGCGACACATCTAAATCTCAAGTTTAGATGGTCAACAAATCTCACACTAGCGAATCAATCTTCGAACAATCTTCTTTCATTTGTCGCATCTACTTGCATCGCTCATCAATTTTTTGCAGGAAATCTTCAGAATCGTCATCAATCTTCTTTCTATCTACTAAGCGTGCGTGCAGCTAGCCACAGCAAAACACAATCTTTTTTGCATCGTAGATAGAGTCGTCCCCCTCGGTTTTGATCATTTCCCGTAAAACTGTTATTTTGCGGTCAATTCAGTAATTACTGTTACCGCATTCAGTAGTTTCTTGCAAAAACTAATGAACGTCAGTAATGTTATTGAGAACAGCTGAATGTTCGGTAGTTTTTGTGATTTACAGTTCGAAAACTGTAAAAAAAAATTATCGAACAAGGAAACCGTGATTAAGTGTGTATTGAACATCAGTAACTGATAAAAATTGATTGAATATTACAGTAATCAACATGATTTGTTCTCGAATTTTGTGTACATCGTACAACGTACAACGTAATATTAGGAACGGAATGACTAATGTGCAGCAGTTTTGATGTAATATTCAAAGTGTTTTTATGTTACTTCATACGCGAAGTTAGCGATTTTCAGAGTTGGTTGGAAATGCTAACATGAAGCTTTAGTGTGATAATTTATTAGTTAGAGAATGATCTTTAGAAGAGGGTAGGTGGATAGTTCCGTTAGAGTACGGCAGTATAAAAATTGAATAGAAGTTTGAAAATGAGCGAAGGGCCATTAATGCGACAGTTTTTAAAGATAGACGCACATCTTTTGCCTAACCCGTACGATGTACGCGGAGACTTGAAGTATGTCTCCAAGTCTACAGGCAAAAAATGTGCGTCCCTCTTTTACTCATAAACTGACTGCGGGTGTGGAATAGTTCTAGCGACGTTTTCATCACTACCTAAAGCCCCACGTTGCGAGAGCATTTCCAGTCGATGGTGTGTTATAATGCAATTCTTCTTTACCCAACTATTGTGTTGCTCCTCTCGTCATGACCAACTTGGTCATCTCAGAGAGAAGGCAGTAGGGTGGTTGTTGCGTGCTGTAACATTATCAGCATTGTTGACGGTTACTCCCGCCTTGAGTTGTTACATTCAAAGTGTTTTTATGTTACTTCATACGCGAAGTTAGCGATTTTCAGAGTTGGTCGAGGAGTTGGTTGGAAATGCTAACATGAAGCTTTAGTGTGATAATTTATTAGCTAGAGAATGATCTTTAGAAGAGGGTAGGTGGATAGTTCCGTTAGAGTACGGCAGTATGAAAATTGAATAGAAGTTTGAAAATGAGCGAAGGGCCATTAATGCGACAGTTTTTAAAGATAGACGCACATCTTTTGCCTAACCCGTACGATGTACGCGGAGACTTTTTTTTTCTGTATTCGTCAGATGTGGTATGTGTCTCCAGTTGGATGCCTTGACCACTTATCATTTTCAAGAGCTAACATCTTCTAACTAGACGTGAAAAAGAACTGGTATCAATGATAAGTTTGAAATGTGGTGGCTTTCTCAATGCTTCAGTGGCTCCACCATGACAAATGCAAGCACATTCCCAACTAAAACATTATTTGCGATGAATGTGATAGTGAGTTTTATGTCTGTTTGTCTGTGGTATTATTATTATATTGTAGTTTAATTATATACATTTTAAAATAAACTTTTTGAAAAAAATTGACCCATAGTATGCAGGACACTCAAATCATATATGATTGGCAATATAATTTTGAGAGTAGAATATTCGACAATTAGGTGATTGATTGTTGACACTGATAATTGAAGCCCATGAAATCCAAGTGTGTCACAATGGGTTTATAGTGTTACTGAATAGATTATATCATCCGATTTACACATGAAATAGATGTGTTTAACAATTTGCTCCAAGTCAAGTTTGAAACACATGATAGTGGGTGATAATTTTGTTTTGAGTGTATACACTCATGGATGTGTACTTTTGGGGAATTTGGAAAAAATTATAGGTTGCGTTTCAAAATGCAAAAAATTGTTATGTCGACAACAATGATTTGACACATACGCTACGTAAGCGCAGAGAAAATATAATGTTGCCAGTAACTTCAAAGATCATGGAAGTTTCTTACCCTAGGTGCCAAACTGTGTCAATGAGTGTGTCCCAGGTGGGCTTTTTGGCACTCCGCACAGTGTGAGTTGGAACTGTTGGAATTACCACGGGGAACTACACTCATTCAGATGCATTTTATTGCAAAAAAACTTGGCAGTGCCGCGATGGGATGCAAGCGAAATTGAAAGAATGGAGTGGAATAGACTGAAGGATAAGCAGTGATGTTCAGGATATCTTGCAAAAAAAAAAAAAAAAAAAAAGACAGGGATGTATAAAAATAGAAAATGGAATTTTACACTAATAATATTCCACACATTTTTATGGACGAATTTCAATGAGAAATTCCTCATGATTTTCATGTGACCACACATAAACAGAATCCAACCATAAGCACACATAAAATGTATGAGTAAAATGAATAGTATGTGTGGTTTACACATGAATTGTATGTGTACAACTATTGAGTATGTGTCCGACAGATATCATTTGTTGGTCACATTGCAAAAATTCATATGTGGGACACATAAAAACAGTATTTGGATTTTTTGAGAATGTGGATTAGAGTACACTTGAATAGAGACCCTGAGTTCGATAAAAAATACCGTCTTAGATCGGTAATCCTAAAAATTAGAGATGTTTCGGTATTCGGATTATAAACAGGTAAGGTCAAGTTATGGTTCGCATTTATGCGCGGAGACTTTATCCTACCTGATGGTGGTGTTCTTTTGCGCGGACGAGCTAATAGTACGTTCAGACTACAGAGTTATAACATGTTATAGCGCTATCTTGATGGTGGTTTCTGTGTTGCAATTAGTTGACAACCGTTATAACATGTTATAACTCTCCAGTCTGGACAGCGTTTAAGAGTTTCGACAAATTATATACGTTTAGCCGCGGATACACTTGCATGAGCATGAGTATTATTTATATAATAAATTATTGTCACGCTTATGTTAAATTCTCATTTGATGACAGTCGAAGCGCGCCGCTCATAAGCGCGCTGCAACCCCGCTCATAAGGATTCTACACAGGTGTGTAACATAGATAGCATTTTATGACAGCGGCTTGAGGAGCGAATCCTGGATAATGAGCCGCCGTATGTTAAATCAATGGGCGCAGTCGTACGGCCATAAAAAGAGAACAGATGGTAAAATCCCATTTTGAGAAATTATCATGCCACACACAATATGAGCTGAAAACTGTGTGAGTGCCGAAGATCCAAAACGATTTAACGTAAACGCGCACTTTTATTAGCGTTTCCGCAATTACTTATAATGCACGCAATGCGCAATGTTTGGCTGGAAATCTAATCTGGGCCAACATGCGCAATGCAGTCTCGATTATATTCACCCCGGGAGCTATTTGACAGCTCCAGTGTAATGTCTATGTACCCCGAAAATTCTGGTACTCTGGTTCTGTCAAATCGAATAATGGTGGAGTAAATTTACAATTGGTCTTATTTTTGATTAACTCTTTTTTTTCACATTTTTGAGTTTTTGTTGTTGTTTCTTATTTTTGTAAAAACATTGATATTTTTTAAATAATCTTCCAATTGACTCAGCTTGACGGGATCGGAAAGTGTCTGTCTATGCTTGTGTGTATGAGAGCGCGAAATCACAATTTTCTTAAACGTATTTCTCGGCAACCGCTCTACCGAATTGAACGCAACACGAACCAAATGAAAGGTACCATGATTTTATATAATGTCAATGAACAGATTTTTAATCGATTAACTGGTTCCGGTGATTTGGACGGAAAAAGATTCGAAAATCACGGAATTCGGGAACTAAGGGGTTTTCTCGGTAACCACATAACCGAATTAAACGAAACAACCAGCAAATAAAAGGTATTATGATCACATTGAATGATGTTGATCAAATTAAGAATCGGTCAACTATTTTCAGAGATATGGGCGGCACAAGTTCCGAAAAACATGTATTTTGGGAACTAAGTCATATTTATCGGTAACCACTAATGTGAATTGCTCGCGTCAACCACCAAACGAAAAGTATCATAATCCCATAGCCTCACCTATAGAACATCATTGAACAGATTCAGAATTGGTCAACTGGTGCAGGAAATGTTGTAGGAACATGTTCCGGAGAATGTGAACCATGATACTAAATTTGAACGGTAAGGAATAAAACCTATCATGTGAGAAAACAAATTACTTCAAAACATGATAACCAAATGAATTGTGGCGATTTCGAGCGCCGCGGACCACATTTGTCAGTTTCGGGCATGTCCCAGATGCTCCCGGGGAATTGAATCAAAACCCATCATGCCAAATAATGAATTTTTCAAATTTTCATCAAGTCGATTAAATTCCAATCTTATGTAAGGATCGTTATGAGGAAAACAATGCAACATCAGTAATACGTCTCACTGATAATTTATTCTTGGCTTGAGTTCGACGTCCACATTAAGTGAAACAAAAACATATTTTCTGATGTGAGAAAAGTTGTGCCAGCAACGATGACCCCATTGCTTACGTACGGTGGAGACATCTACAATTTGTAAGTGGGTACGTGAAACTAAGGTTTTCTGTCTAGATACTCAGGGGTTGATTATATTACAGACCCCGGTAAACTGAATTAAGCGTGTAAATCTCGAGAACGAAATATTTTCAAGCGCTTTGTAAACATCAATGAGCGTGTATTTTTTGTGTAGACTTAATAATCCGCATAAGCGGAAGTTTCGTTTTTGAATTGCCCTGTGCAAGTGACGAATGTTTTGTTTTCACTCAACTTTCGAGTGTAGTGGTGCAAAGTTTTGCTTCTTCGGTTCGCCGTGGGCGGCCCTGAGCTCGGCCGATGATGCTTTTGAAGTTTTCGTGGGAGTGCAAGAAAGATAGCATAGTCAGTGATTATCGCCATCCTTCTCCTTGTCTGCCAAAACGCCAAAACTAGAAAATCAAAACAAAACATTACTTCTGTGAAGTTGGAGCAGGTTTTCGTTATTTTTGTTTTTAAAATATTTAGTTAACATAACTAATAAAATACAACCTAGGACCCGGAACACAACAAGCTAAGCATTAAGGTAACGCATAGCCAACCAGCGGATAAACTACCTCAAAATGGATGATCAAGGATGTCCGCGTTGTAAAACCACCAAGTATCGTAATCCATCGCTGAAGTTGATGGTAAATGTCTGCGGTCACACACTATGCGAAAGTTGTGTAGAACTGCTTTTCCTGAAAGGATCCGGTTCATGTCCGGAATGCAATGTGGCCCTGCGTCGAAGCAATTTTCGAGTGCAACTGTTTGAGGATTCCAACGTCGACAAAGAGGTTCAGATCCGGAAGAGAATTTTAAAGGATTTCAATAAAAAAGAGGACGATTTTAATTCGTTGGATGAGTACAATGATTACCTGGAATTGATAGAGGAATTGGTGTTCAATCTGTGCAACAACATCGACATCATAAACACGAACAAACGAATCGAACAATACAAGAAGGAGAACAGGGATACGATCTTGAAGAATAAAACAAAGCTTAGCAAAGATGAATTCGAATTGGAACAGCTGATTGAAATCGAGAAAGAGCAATCTGATCAACGGAAAAAAGAATTGACAATGATCGAGACTGAAAACCGCAAACAGAAGGCAAAAAATAAGGAAGATCTCATTGATTCTTTGATGGAAAGCTACGAAGATGCCAGCACAATCGTGGATAAGTTTGCCCAACGAGCCGAACAGCAGCAGATTCCGTTGCCGAAACCGATGGCTCCCCCGGCGCCGAAGACGACTCATTTCTCGACCGGTATTAAATTCCAGTCGCAACATGGATTCCTACCAGTGCCTAAAATCGAGGAAGGTCCTACCTATATCTACGAACCACAGGTATACCCGAAAGAAGGCCCAATTCAACCGACCATGAGTGACATTGATAGCAAGGGTTATACCAAGTATATAAGGTGAACAATAGCATACATTGCTTGAAGTCCTTTTTGTAATTATCTTCATCTACTTATTTTTTTAGGGCTGAAACGCAAGCGGAGCGAGCAGGTGGTTTCAGGACCAACATTTCATGCTTACGAGCGATTCAGGACGCGCTTGTTGGATTGTATCATGGCTGTTAAGAGTTCCATGAATTTTGTTATCATTTAATCATCTATTACTATTCATAATAGAGTAACGTAAGCATTGAATACTGATGTTTTATTCGCTTCACCTTGATGGTTCAATCATCTTACAAGTTTTCTCTTGCTTGAGTCTTTATAGACTGAGCTAAGTATGAGGAAAAACGATTCATGCAACATATCAAATCTCATATACCTCTTCCTCACTATAGTCGCTATATTCATAGAATGGTGGATAGAATCTCGGAAATCAATTGAGCTGTCAAATAGCTGAACCAATCGAGCAAATCACGTCCAAGAACAGAAAAGAGCACATCAGCTATGGCGAACAAAACTTCGGAAACCCTTTTCTCGTGAATCAAGGGTGGCCTACGCAAACTAACACCATCTTTGGGTAGGGGAAAGTTTCTCCTATACGATGATGCTGGTAATCAACGTTTTGTTTTTTAAAAGTTGATGGTATATTTTCAATTGTTGGTCTACAATATATTGAATTTTTTTTTCCGCTTTTTGATAGATTCCAACCTGTTGAATAATTATTGCACGGAAAACAAATCAAGGAAAAAAAACCATGGGAGCAAAAAAAAAGAAGGCAAAATACCCAACAAATAATTATTTATCCTTCTTTTAATCATCAGCTGTTCTTTCATAATCCGTTGAAATAGCCAAAATATACATATTTATCGGGATAATAAACGTTTTCCGCATTTATGCCAAATGGTCATGCTAAACGGCATATGCCCTTGTTACGGGTGTCACTTCACGGTGAAAACGAAGTTAAATGACAAGTTTTCATTTACGGTGAAGTGATTCCCGGGCAAATCAAATGGGAATCACTTCACCGTGAGTGAAAAGTTTCCACTTCACTTCGTGTTCACCGTGAAGTGACACCCGTAATAAGGGCCATTACGCCCGTTTGGCATTGAGCCATTTGCGTAAAGCCGTTTGGCGAAAATGTTATTTGACATGCTGGACGTTTGGCATAAACAATGGAAACGTTAAAATTTTAATGAGGTTTAATAACGCAACCTTAGAAACATGTTTAATAGGAAATATCAGACATTCATAGTTGGGTACCAAATCAGAAATAATAAATTTTCGTTACATTGATTACGCGATTATAGGAGCAGGAGTGTTGCATACCGGAATAATGCAACGATCTTGCAACAACAAAGAATAATTTAAGCAGTGGAGCTTGCGTTTATGTAGTCTAAAAATCAACTTAGCAATTTTTAGTTTTCAATGCGTGCAGATTAGCGGGGTTCAAACTAAAAAGTGCTCCGATTAAGAACGGTCAGATTACCGGGGGTCCACGGTAGTGCATTTACAACTATTTCTCGATCATCTGTTCTCCAAGGGTGTAGCCAGGTTTCGAGCTAGGGAGGAGCGAAAAAAAATTACTATGGAAAATTTGGCCGAATGCCATTTCACCGAAAGCCTTTGTGTTGCTGAGTTTAGGGGGGGCAGTTGCCCCCAGCCCCCCTCTGGTTACGCCTATGTGTTCTACTGCTATCTACACACTTAAAATTTTTCGCCGAGATTCCAACAGCCGAGTAATTCTGCAATTTATTTTGCTGAGATTTAGTAAAACAATTGCCGAGAAGTCTTCTTTCGGAAGGGAAGTAAAGCCGTTGGTCTCGGCCCATGTGCGTTGTTGTGAATGGGTGCGATATCCTTCGCAGGTGTGGAAGCTGCCTTCCTGCACATTCGGTTGCCGTCAATGGATGGCAATCGATGTCCGTCGGTGATTGGCACTAGATTGCGGAACAGAGACCGACGTATAAAGGGAAAGAAAAAATTGCCGAGAATCAGCTAACAAATAACATTTTGCTGAGATATCAGCTAACATACAGATATTTTGCAGAGATATCAGCAAAAGTAAATACCGAGGTAATCGGCTGTTGGAGATTTTACCGAGCTAGATTAAGTGTGTACACACTTAGATTTTTTCGCCGAGATGGGCACCACCGAGCAGCTCAGCATTTTATTTTGCTGGATCTCAGTGAAAAACTTGCCGAGATTCAGCTAACAAACGGGAATTTTGCCGAGATCTCGGCTAACAAACATATTTTTTGCTGAATTTCCAGCAAAATAAAATGCCGAGCCACTCGGTGGTGCCCATCTCGGCAAAAAAATCTAAGTGTGTAGACTGAACCAATATGACATGTTCCCGTTATGTGGAAGTTTAATAAATTTGCCCGAGGCGTGCTGCCAAGGCGGTTCGCCGACTATGAAATCAACGCAGCCATGTTGGTGCAGGAGGAGCCAATGTCGTACGAAGAAGCCATATCCGGTCCAGAGCAAGAGTTGTGGAAGGCCGCGGTGACGGAAGAATACCAGTCGCTGATGGAGAATCGAACGTGGACACTCGTTGAGCCACCTACTGGTCGTGCTCCTATAAGCTGCAAGTGGGTATATAAGAAGAAGCACGACAGCGTGGACAACGTGTCTCGGTTCAAAGCGCGACTTGTAGCAAGAGGGTTTTCGCAGAAGTTCGGAGTCGATTACGATGCCGTTTTCGCTCCGGTGGCAACTCAGACGACTTTGTGGATTTTCCTAACGGTCGCTGGACAGAAAAAGATGTCAGTTCATCACCTGGACGTCAAGTCTGCTTATCTACATGGCAAGCTGAAAGAGGAAGTGTACATGCAGCAGCCTAAGGGATTTGTAGTTCCAAAGAAAGAGTAACTGGTCTGCAGGCTCGAGCGCAGCCTGTACGGCCTAAAGCAGGCGGTGCGTGTGTGGAACTTTACGATCCGTTCGATGCTGAAAGAGCTTGGTTTCTTGCAATCGGGATCAGATCCGTGCCTGTACGTGAAGGCGTTGCCGGACGGCGGAGTCGTGTACCTCGTTATTTATGTCAACGACATGGTGGTCGCGAGCACAACTCAGAAGGAGATCAAGCGGATCGAAGCTGAATTGCAGAAGAAGATTTCTTTGACTTCGCTGGGAGAATTCCAAGGAACTGGTGAATTCGAGTGTCAAGAGACCGTGAAGGGTACTTCTGTTTGGACCAGAAAGTTTTCATCCAGGTGCTTGCGCAGCGTTTCGGTCTGCAGAACGCGAGAGACTCGAGTATTACGCTCGATCTTGGGTATTACCGCAGTCGGGTAGGCAGCCCGAAGCTGGACACGAACCAGCACTACCACAGCCTGGTAGGTGCGCTGTTATATGTTGCATTGAATACAAGGCCGGACATCGCCGCAAGTGTTTCGATCCTGAGTAGGCAGGTTAGCAATCCAACGGAGATCGACTGGGTCGAACTAAAACGCGTTGTACGATACCTGCTGAAGACTGCCGACTACAAGCTGAAACTGTCAGCTGCGAACGATGAACCATTAACTCTCATTGGTTACTGTGATGCAGACTGGAGTGGTGATCCTTCGGACCGCAAGTAGAATTGGGTTCTTTAATTTTGAAAAATATATCGGTTTTTATGTATCATCTGAAAGAGCTTCGTTTTCTGAGCACAGCGATCTTCTATCAAAGATATTTCATTAACAAGATATCCCACAAATCAATTCCTCGAACAAGGCAATGGATACACCACCCTTATGTGATCGCAGTGCCATCTCGTGAGTGCACATTGAAACTGTTAGGAGTCCCCCGCCAACTTTACCACCAGGGCTCAATAAATGACAGGTGTCAGTATGACATATGCCAGCGTGGACGTTGATGATCAGCCGAGGGAAGAGGATGATCGATGTCATCATCATTATATTGCGATAGCAAGATTCTCACTTCGTTATGATTGCATCCATTTTCAATCATTACCACGTTATACGCATCAGAAAACCTTGAGAAAACAATAATAAATGCAGATACGTCCCTTCGAAAAAGTAATCGAGAATTCAGTGCCAACATTTCAAAGGGGCGTAATTGCATTTGTAAACAATGGCTTTAGTCGTCGATTTCTTGCGAATAAAATCTCTCTCATGAAAAATAATTACACCAGCAGGTAGAGGAATGTTTCCTCTATCAGCAAGCAATGTAATTTTGTAGAGGTAAGATTTCATTCGCGAGAAATTTACGGTTAAAGTCATTGTTTACAAAAGCAATTACGCCCCTTTGAAATGTTGGCACTGAATTGATGATTTATGAAGCTGTTGCTCCTCATAATAGAAGTTGCATAGAAGTATACATGGAAAAAACGCAACGTATCGAAATCATTGCTAAACAAACGTAATAAAATATGCCGTCTTCCTTGGCCAACGCTGCACGCTATTGGCTATTCAAAAATTACGTTGGAATAATGATTACTTTTCTATTTTATAAAGAAGGTATTTTTCAATGACGGCGAATTAAATCGTAAACTAAAGCTGCCGAAGCTGAGTGATGACGATGAGTAATGACACCACTTCGTGTTTTGATTTGCGCTGTACTCTCCGCTCAGTGGTGTGGGTTCGTACATGTATAGATTATGGTGTGCGTGTTTTCTTCCAACGCTGCAGTTCAACGGTTATAATATTCAGTGTAAACATTTCAAAGGGGCGTGTTCTCGATAGTCAGAACAAACACCGTCTTTTAGTTGCAAACTTAGCAGCTTCAAAGCTGTAATTTAATTGTTAACATTAGTGATGATACAAAGGTAAGTATAATACAATAATCTTACATTTTCAGTGTTCTTCTTGTTTTGCCAGGTCACCGTCTACCACGGATGGACAATTCCGACACGATCTATAACCAACGGTAGGTATTTAGGTCCATTTTAGGTTAGGCAACAAGCTAGGTAAGTACTATTATTCTAATTTTAGGATCAACATACCTCAATTCTAATGAATGATCCACTTACTACGTGGAAAACCGCGAAATTATAAATACAAATCGAACTGTAATTACAATAAACGTTTTAAATCACAATTCTTCAATTATTAATCGCTAAACTTACAAGCTATTTCACCTCACTAGAATTCACTTCTTTATTTTTCCTCACAAAGAAACCAAAGCAAACTTCTACAACTATATGCGTTTCTTTACATTCGATCTGTCATTCGCTTCGCCCGGCACTGGCGTTTCGCTCGCGAGGGTTCGGTCAGTTGGTTCACCCACAATTCGCCGCGTCGAGGGGTATCGGCGACATCCCCCAACCCGTGAACCACTTCCGTTTCCGGAGCGACTGCTTCCGTACTCCTGTCGTTGCTTGCCACGTCCAGAACCGCCAGCTTCACCGCAGGTCTAGCGAACACTCCTCTAGCTGTCTGTACCGTAGCACGCCTCACCTGCCCAGATTTGTCCGGAAAGGTCTCACAAATACGTCCTCGCTCCCAATGATTCTTCGAATTTTCGTCGACTATCACGACTAGATCGCCAGGTTCCAGCGGCTTCACTGCATCGAACCATTTCGTACGCCTCGTTAGCATCGGGAGGTATTCTCGAACCCATCTGCGCCAGAATTCGTCCACGATGTGCTGCGCAAGCTTCCAGCTGTCTCGAAGGATGTTACCGTTCACAGGTTCGGTTGCTGGTTGCTTGATACCGGTTGACCCATACAGCAGAAAGTGGTTTGGCGTGAGTGCCTCTTCGTCTGCTGCCTCCAAGGGAACGTAGGTCAGCGGTCGCGAGTTGACGATCGCTTCAGCCTCCAACATGATCGTTTCCAACACCTCATCGCTTGGATGACGCGGACTATCCGATACTGCCTTCATCGCTACCTTTACGGACTTGACCATACGCTCCCATGGTCCTCCCATGTGCGGAGCCGCTGGAACGTTGAAATGCCACTGGGTGTTCGCGTTGGTGAATGTAGCAGCGCAGTCCTCGACGATGTCCTGGATCTTCTGCTTCTCTTCAGACAACTGGCGATTCGCTCCTACGAAGTTCGTGCCGTTATCGGAAAAGACTTCCAACGGTGCGCCCCGCCGGGCCACGAATCTCCTGAAGGCCATCACGCAGGAAGTCGTTGAAAGGCTGTGTGCCAGCTCCAGGTGAACCGCCCTCACTGTGAGACAGGTGAACAGGCAAATCCACCTCTTCACCACGCTGCGTCCGACTTTGACTTCGAAAGGTCCCATATAATCGACACCGACGTAAGTAAACGGCCGAACGAATGGTGTCAACCGTACCTTTGGCAGTGGTCCCATCTGCGGTGGCACCGGAGCAGCTTTCAGCACTTTACAGTGTTGACAAGCTCTGCTGACTTTACGTACGAGAGTCCGAAGCTTCGGTATGTAGAACCCTTGCCGTAGTTCATTTAAGACTGTTTCTCCGTTGGCGTGAAGGAACCGCCGGTGGAAAGAATCCACCAGAAGGAAGGTGATACGATGATCCCTTGGCAATATTACGGGATACTTTGCCGTGTATGCAATGTGCGGCGCGTTTCCAATCCGACCTCCTACCCGAATGACTCCGTGATCATCGATGAATGGAATCAACGATTGCAGTGAGCTTTGTTTCCGAACGCTGCGACCCTTGCTCAGCTCGTGAAGCTCCTCCGAATACGCCTGCGCTTGGGCCTGTCGCCAAAGTGTCTCCTCCGCCTTCTCGAAATCCTCTTGGTCTGGACCTTGTCGCCATTGTGCATCACTCAGCGTGCGCTTCCAGAACCGTAGCGCCCTGTGAACGTAGGCCATCGTACGGACTAAACGATTCCAGCTTGAAAAACGTTCAGCATCAACTATCTCCACCGTCGTTTGGTGTACCGCTACCATTCGAAGTTCTTCGCTTGCCGCGTCTGCTTCGCTTACTTCTGCTGATTGCTTAGGCCACTGCCCTTTTGGATCTCGTAGAAACGATGGACCTTGAAACCAACGGTTTTCTGGATCAAACGATGGTCCCGAATTCCACTTGGTGGCGTCATCTGCCACGTTGAGCTTCGACGGTACGTAGTGCCATTCATCAACGCTTGTGAGCGAAAGAATCTCGCCCATCCGAAAAGCGACGAACTGGTGGTACCGACGGCTATCCGAGCGCAGCCACGCCAAAACTGTCGCTGAATCCGTCCAAAGGAACCGTTTTCGAATGTTGAGGGTTAGCGCCGAACACACGTTTTGCAATAAGCGGGATCCCATCATGGCAGCCTGAAGCTCCAAGCGTGGAATTGAGAGCGTCCGAAGTGGCGTAACTTTTGTTTTTGCTGCTACCAACGAACACCAGCTACCTCCGCTGAACATCATTCTCAGGTAAGCGACACACGCACATGCCGCTACGCTTGCATCCTTGAACACGTGGACCTCGATTTCGTCCACCTCCTGTGGCAGAAGACTTCCGAAAAAGCAGCGCGGAACTTTCACCTCGTCGATCATCTCATACAGCTCGATCCATCTACTCCATAGTTCGTACAGTTGTTCTGCTATGGGCTCATCCCAGTCAGTACCCGTTCTCCAAATCTCTTGCATCAGGATTTTTCCCTGCACAACGAAGTGCGCCACGAATCCCAAAGGATCATACACTTTCATCACGGTCCGCAGTACTTGCCTCTTCGTTGGAATCGGTCCGTTACTACCCAAGACTTCTTTGAGCCCTGTCTGATCGAAGGTGAAATGATCCGCTGAAGGTATCCACACGACACCCAAGACGCGTTCGTAAATTTCATTCTTGTCGAGGCTCAGCGACTTGCTGGCTGTCGATCCAGTCTCCCCTAGACGATTGAGCACCTCCTGCGAGTTGGACAGGATTTTGCCGAATTCGAAACCTGCTGCTGCGTGAATAAGCTGTACTTGGTTGACAAGCTGTACTGCTTCCTCCACCGAGTTGACACTGTCGAGAAAGTCATCCACGTAGTGGTTATTGATGATCGCATCTACTGCTCTGGGATATAGTTCCACGTAGTCGAGAGCGTTTTTGTTTTTAACGAACTGCGCCGTGCATGGAGAGCTGGTTGCACCGAACATCGCTACGTTGATCACGTAGACCTGCACTTCATCCTCTGGACTGCTACGCCATAAGAAACACTGCGACCACTTGTCTGCCTCCCTAATCAGGATTCTCAGGAACATTTCGCGGATATCGGAGCACACCGCAATCTTGCCTTCCCTGAATCGTAACAAAACTTCCACGAGTGATACGAGAAGATCCGGCCCCTTGAGAAGCATGTCGTTGAATGAAACTCCACCAGCCTTCGCGGCGGCATCCCACACCATTCGAATTTTGTTGGGTTTCTTAGGATTGGTCACCACCCCTAACGGAAGGTACCACACACGCTGAGGGTTCGCATTCGCAACCTCTTCCACTGTTACCTTGCGAACGTACTGCTTCTGCTCGTAACTCTCGATTTGCTCGTTCACCTTTCTACGCAACTCCGGATCCTTTGCCAACCGTTTTTCCAGTCCTCTCAACCTACTGATCGCCATTTGGTAGCTGCCCGGAAAGTTCACGTTGTCCTTTCTCCAAAGCAAACCCGCCTCCATACGAGTTCCTCTCCGTACCGTTGTCGCTTCCAGAATGCTGCGTGCTCGTTTGTCCTCCTCGGATTCGAGCTGCTGCATCAAAACGGCATCTTCTACTGCGAAGAACTTTCGCATCGAATCGTGTAATTCGCGGTTGCTAATGTCTTCACAGGCATGGATGTGCAGCTGCTCAACTGATCCTTCAGTTCCAGAATTCCTCCCGTATACGCACCAACCTAGACGAGTTTTGGTTGCAACTGGTTCGCTGCTGCTGCCTTCACGAGTCTTCAAGCTAGTGAGCAACCGTACGTGTTCCAGCCCGATGATCATGCCAGGCTTAGCGTTGACATAGCTAGCCACGGGAAGACCTTCAAGATGCGGGAACGTATTCGACAGCTCTAAATAGTCCAACGTTTGACTTGGAAGCCCTAGCTCGCGCACCGTTCGCACGTTGCCCAGTTGGAATGTTTCCTTCTTCCGAGCTCCGGATATCTTCACGCTTATTCTCTTGGAAGTCTTCTCCTGTCTACTGATCTTGCCGGTCCAACTCAGCCACAAGTTATCGGGTTCACCCTCTATGCCCAACTGTGCAGCGATTTCCTCCTCGAGTAGCGTCGATGATGATCCGTCATCCAGGAACACGAAAGTTTCAACTTGTTTCCCCTCTCCGTACAGCGTAACTGGCAAATAGCGGAACAGCGAAAAGGATTTCGTGTGGTGATGATTTTGATGAACAGTCTCGCCAGACCTTGGACCATCAGTAGTATCATTGCGGCTACTGTGCAGCAGCATATGATGTCGAACTCGGCAACTATCCACTCCGCATTCCTTTTTCGAGCGACACGGCCATTTACGATGCGGTATCAAGCACAATCGGCACAAGTTCTTCTGCCGCATTGCCTTCCATCGGCCTCCGATGTCCAACTCTTTGAAACTGTAACAGTTTAGGATCTGATGACCATCTTTCTCACAATACGAACACGCTTTTGACGTACATTCGCCGCTTGCACTCTCCTTCTTCGATACGCTTGGCGACACGTTCGCGTGAGTGAAAAGCTTTTCCTTTTGCTTCGACTTTTCCACTTTTTGGTGTTTGTGGTAGTTTTGGGCGGATTCCACGTCGATGCTTAGCTCGGCAGCAAGGTTCACTAGTCCCGACATGAAGTTGTTGAATGTCGCTAGGTTGACGTTCGCTGACGATTGTTTGAACGTACCCCACTGCATCTTCAGCGAGGTGGGTAATTTGTCGACCAACTCTTGTAGCAGCATTGGATTTGATAAATGTGCTTGCTGATCAGCCAGGATGATATGATCGACGAGATTTTGAATCACCAACCCGTACGCGACGATGGTGTTCAAGTTATCATACTTCGGCGGCGGAACGTTTCTCACCTTCTTCAGAAGAGAACTAATCAGGATCTCTGGCCTTCCGTATAGCTTATGCAACGTTTCCATCACGTACGGGACGGATGCTGGCAGGAGTAGACGACTTCTAACTGCCTCAAGTGCGGAACCTCCCAAGCTACGTTGCAATCTGGCCAGATTCTCGGCGTCCGTGTACCCGCAGACCTCCGTCGTGTTTTTGAAGGAACTGTAGAACATAGGCCATTCCTGGGGATCCCCGCCGAACTTCGGCAACTCGCGTGGCATTACTTGCCGAGCTGCCAATTGGGCACTGGTCGGTCCCAAACTGACTGGCGGAGGGTTCATATTCCCGTAGCACAACGATGTTGGTATTACCGAGGGCGGTATTTCCGGTCCTATGACGGGATATGGACAACTTGATGGTGGGTACGGAAACGGCACTGAGTATCCGGAGTAAACGTTCGAATAGTTTGGAATCCCCGGTCCCAGACTTGCGGTGGTTGTAGTTGGTAACAACGGAGGATTTATGGGCATTGCTCCATTGGAAAAAGGAGGATACTGGAACGAACCAACCGTTGACGAAACAGGCGGATTCACGGAAACGAGAGGTACTGGTTGAAACGAAGTCGAAATCGGCAACTGTGGCAACGATGCGACTGTGGCAGCACCCAGATAATGTTGTGGATTTCTAATGAGGTCACTCGAACTATACGGTATCGACGGAATAACCCCGGCTGCACTCGAAAGCATGCCTTTCATTTCCGGGCACGAATAGACCGGTGCGAAGCCGTCACATACGAGTGGAACGCCAGACCGAGTCGCTTTTGGAATCATCGGTACAGTCGATACTATCGACGAAGTAAACGCCGGCGCCGCGGCCACCGAAGTGACGAAACTTCCACCAGCTGTCACGACCGTCGTTAATGGAACAGCAGCAATCGTGGGTAGATGAGATGATGCGCTTCCTGGTATCGGTACGACATTCGACTCGTAAGACTTCGCCAGAGCGGTAACGTTCCCACTGGGAACAGGAATGGTCGGATCCGGATAAAGTACTCCAAGATTCAACGAAACAAGGCTGCTTGAAGTTGAATGCATTGGTAATGGTACCACGATCCCGGGATTTTCCTTGCTAACAGCTGGGACTGACAGGGTAGCTTTCTGTCCAGACGTTGTGGGCTTCGACTGTCCAACTCCGTCCAGTTGGGCTCCCTTTTTAAGCCATTTTTCCAGCTGTTCGCGCCTACTTTTCACACTGACTCCGCTTCTCCTACTTGAAGAATCCTTCTCTTCTACAATCTGCATCATCAACTCGTATTTCTGCCTCAAGTACTCCTGTTCTTCGTCGATTTCCTTCAGCTTGGCCTCTTCTTCCAGTTTACGGATCCTCTTTTCTTCTTCCGCACGTTTCTTCCTCAGCTTCCGTTCATCCTCAAGGAGTTGAAGGCTGAGCTGCAATCTCTGCGAAACTCGACTGCTCTTACTGACGGACGACTCGTTGAATGATACACCCGACTTCGATGCACCACCCTCCCAGTCTGTCAGGCAATTGTTGCACTTGAAACTTCTTTCCGGCTGCGCAATAGACTCGCTGACACCCGCGCACTGAAAGTGTATCCACGATTCGCACACATCGCAACACACCATATCATCATCGGTATCCGCACGATTGCACTTTTTGCAATGCTTTTCATTGCTAACCGAAGTCACACTGTTTTCGTCCGACATTTCGAGATCGACCTAAATTAACCTGACAACCGTCTCTAGTGAAGCTTGACGACTAACTCTAATGCTAACGACGATACTCACAACCGACGAAGGTGACAGAATCAAAAAAGGCACTGACTTTATTATGCTGCAGTTTCGATGTCGGTCCGCAATCGATGCGAATTGTCGTTGTTGTTGTTGTTGGTCGTCTTCAACGGTGGGTCGTCTCGCTGTCTCGCTGCTGTGAAATGTCCTTCCCGATGGGCAACAAGCAATCATCCAGCTCTGGATGAAAATCTTTGAAGGATGTTCTCGATAGTCAGAACAAACACCGTCTTTTAGTTGCAAACTTAGCAGCTTCAAAGCTGTAATTTAATTGTTAACATTAGTGATGATACAAAGGTAATTATAATACAATAATCTTACATTTTCAGTGTTCTTCTTGTTTTGCCAGGTCACCGTCTACCACGGATGGACAATTCCGACACGATCTATAACCAACGGTAGGTATTTAGGTCCATTTTAGGTTAGGCAACAAGCTAGGTAAGTACTATTATTCTAATTTTAGGATCAACATACCTCAATTCTAATGAATGATCCACTTACTACGTGGAAAACCGCGAAATTATAAATACAAATCGAACTGTAATTACAATAAACGTTTTAAATCACAATTCTTCAATTATTAATCGCTAAACTTACAAGCTATTTCACCTCACTAGAATTCACTTCTTTATTTTTCCTCACAAAGAAACCAAAGCAAACTTCTACAACTATATGCGTTTCTTTACATTCGATCTGTCATTCGCTTCGCCCGGCACTGGCGTTTCGCTCGCGAGGGTTCGGTCAGTTGGTTCACCCACAATTCGCCGCGTCGAGGGGTATCGGCGACATAGCGTAATTGCTTTTGTAAACAATGACTTTAGCCGTCAATTTCTCGCGAATGATATCTTACCTCTCCAAAATTACAATGCTAGCTGGTAGAGGAAACATTCATCTACCTGGTGGTATTATTATTTTTCATGAGTGAGCTATTATTTGCGAGAAATCTATGGCTAAAGACATTGTTTACAAATGCAATTACACCCCTTTGAAATGTTGGCACTGATATGTTAAAGCGCTATCTTGATGGTGGTTTCTGTGTTGCAATTATTTGACAACCGTTATAACATGTTATAACTCTCCAGTCTGTACCACAAACGAAGTGACAGACGACTAACTGGCGAATAAATCCATTTAAATAATGTGGTTCACTGTAATAGAATATTCTTGGAAGCTTGTGCCATCATCCACCAGATGGGTTAGTTGTTTTGTTTTGATTTGAACAAAGTTGATTTTGTGTACAATGATTCTTTGACAGTGTGCAAAGAGTGCGTATCATTTTGTCATTTTTTTATGCATTTCAGTTTTGAGTAGAGTGAAAGAGATAGAACCAAAACATTCTAGTACATTAGGTGAAAATGCTAGTTCAATCTAGTAGTAGCACAAACGAAGTGACAGACGGAGCGGCTCGAAAACTTTGGTGACTAACCTGCTATTTCAATTTTTCAGTGTACCACATGGCAACACCACTACTACTGGATTGTACCACGTGGCAACACTACTACTGGATTGTACTAGCATTTTCACCAAATGTATCAGAATGTTTTGATTCTATCTCTTTCACTCTACTCAAAACTGAAATGCATAAAAAAATGACAAAATGATACGCACTCTTTGCACACTGTCAAAGAATCATTGTACACAAAATCAACTTTGTTCAAATCAAAACAAAAAAACTAACCCATCTGGTGGATGATGGCACAAGCTTCCAAGAAAATTCTATTACAGTGAACCACATTATTTAAATGGATTTCTTCGCCAGTTAGTCGTCTGTCACTTCGTTTGTGGTAGTAGTGTTGCCATGTGGTACAATCATAGAGGTAACTCTAAGACCACTGGGTCCCGAAGAAAATCATTATTATTTTTGGCTCACTCAGTACCAGAACAACGGTCCCAAGCAGTCCCAAGCTATTTCACTCACCCCTGCATGTTCTGCATGAATCCACACACCCCTGATGTTATCTGTCAAACGTTCATAGCGAATCAAAACAAACATAGTGTAGTAATAGAATTTCAACTAGAATAGGGTACGTTAATCGTTTGCTTGGGACCAATAGGCTACTAAAGTGGTGAGCCAATTTAAAATCGTTAGTTTCGTATTGATTGTTGGTACAATCCAGTAGTAGTGGTGTTGCCATGTGGTACACTGAAAAATTGCAATAGCAGGTTAGTCACCAAAGTTTTCGAGCCACTCCGTCTGTCACTTCGTTTGTGGTTTAAGGCTGTGAACCATTTGCGGAATTAAATTTAACTCGTAACAGACTAGAGAGTTATAACAACAATCAATACGAAACTAACGATTTTAAAGTGGCTCACCACTTTAGTAGCCTATTGGTCCCAAGCAAACGATTAACGTACCCTATTCTAGTTGAAATTCTATTACTACACTATGTTTGTTTTGATTCACTATGAAAGTTTGACAGATAACATCAGGGGTGTGTGGATTCATGCAGAACATGTAGGGGTGAGTGAAATAGCTTGGGACTGCTTGGGACCGTCGTTCTGGTACTGAGTGAGCCAAAAATAATAATGATTTTCTTCGGGACCCAGTGGTCTTAGAGTTACCTCTATGTTATAACGGTTGTCAAATAATTGCAACACAGAAACCACCTTCAAGATAGCGCTATAACATGTTATAACCATAGAGGTAAAACCATGGACCCAAAGGGTAAGGACCTCCTTCACGCGATTTTTTTTTGGTTCACCTAGCTGTTTTTTTTTAGTGTACCTGGTGCACCCGGTACTAGAGCAAAAGACAGCAATTTGTACCAGAACAGGTGTCAAAAGTGACACAGACAGCACAACTGCCAGCAAAAAAAAAGCGCGGTACCCGCTGCCGTGGCAGTCAGATTAAGGTGTGTCATATCCGCGCCATCCGTTCAATCGTGAGCGAGTGCGTTATCTCAATTCATTCTTGGAGGATCATAAGTACAACCCACGACGTGCCAAGCGATTGGCGGAAAATCTCAGCGTCGAACTCCGAGATATGGTCAAACGGTGCAGCTTTGAGCGGTATCGAGTGGCTGCCATGGTGACCGTGGGAGATAAGAATTCCCAGGACTTCAAATCGTCCATGCGTTTCGCGTGGGATGCCGAAAAGGATGAATACGTGAACTTTGTATACGAAGCACCGACGTATTTTGTATTCGCAACCGTACTTGCAGTGTATTACGAGTAGATGTACACAGAAATAAAAAATTACCCAAATTAGAGTTCTTTTGACTCAACCTCGAAGTTCCGTACGAGAAGCTAATTTTGGGTAAACATGAAAAAACCTAATTTTGGGTAAATTATCGAAAAGACTGCATTGGGTAAGTTTGATCAATAAGGAAAAACCTAATTTTGGGTAAATTTAACTTAACGATAGGTTATTTTACCGGGGACTTTTTCCGAATAAAAAAACCTAGCGTTGGGTCGGATTAACTCAACCATGAGTTATTTTACCGGGTTTTTTTTTCTGATAAATAACCTATTTTTGAGTAAAATGAACCCAACGGTACGTTATTTTACCGGGCACTTTTTTCCCCGAAATAAATTATAAAGAAAAGGGACGCTTGCATGACGAGCACGTAATTATTCCTAATGTTAAAAATCAAAAACAATAACATCCGTGAAGACAATAACAAATTTATTATTATTTATTTTTTAACAAACGATGGTGTCGAAGGAACCGGCTCACGGGAGAATAACGAAACGGTTGGCTTCTACGGCACACCGGGGTCACTAGAAAAAACCAGACCAACAGTCGTGGTGGAAGCTGCAAGTACTGGGATACCTAAAAAAAATTAATTATTTATGTGCTGCTCCACTAGCGCTTTAGATTTGCGACTCACCAGGTTACGTTGAGCTCGGAATCGAACAACCGATGGTCTCGAATGAGGTCTCAAAGGAACCAGGTCACGGGAGAATAACCTCGGGAAAAACAGAACGGATGGCGGTAGAAAAACTTCCGGACGACACACGCGTTGAACTTCATTCGAAGGGAGCAAAATCACTAATGGCGTCGTCGTGGCATTTTTTTCATCCAACTCAAAGTTATTTTCACTCAACGCAAGCTTTATAGTAAGTTACTCAGCGTTGAGTAAATTTAGGCCCACCAAATTTCCTTTTTGTTTTTACTCATCTTTGGGTAATATACGTATTACTCAACCGTTGAGTAAAAATTAACCATCATAACACATTGATTTTTACCCAATGGGATACTATAACGGTTTTACTTAAATTTGAGTTGTTTAAACTCAAGCTTTGGGTAAGTTTCATTTTCTGTGTAGTGGATCGAACAATAAAATTGATAGTCATATTTTCTTAGAGACGCTTCGGGCGAATTCGAGAAACCAACTCCACCACAGTTTATTCAGTAGGGAGGGGGCAATTGCAACATGCTGCCACCGTTACAGTTTTCTGATTGAGATCGGTTTAAAAATAATTAATGTGAAATCTAAAAATCCTGTATAAATAAAATTCAAACAAAAAAATCCGAACAAGGGCGATTTCTTTCGCAATGATGACACTCAGGAGAATTTCAACACCTAAAAGCATCTATTTCCCCGCTCAGAACAATAGACAATAAATAAAACTGAACTATATACTGACTGCTCTACTGTACGGAAACACATTTATCATGATTGGTATCGAAACGGAAATTTTTCAGTTGATTAAAAATGCGCACATCAGAAGTGGGAAAAACGTTGTTCAACATCTACACAACAGCAGCTCTGATAGAATTATTCATCTTCGGTTACACAATAATGTATAGATTTGCCAGCTTTGACTAAGACTTCCATAGACAGAAACATTTCCCTAACAGTAGTAGCAGAATATTTGGAATAACTTTATTCGACTTCCACGCGAAGAACACATAAATACACTGGAGTCGCTTTTTACGCGGTTTTTTTTTACACGGTTTTTTTTTACGCGGA